TTATTAATAATATTTTAATAATTTTAATACCAAAACTATATAAAAACAAATACAAATCATATTGAAAAATACTTTTCCCCTTAAGTAACGTGTGCTTAACAGAGCAAAAAGAAAAATGTTTTCACAGGAAAGGGAAGCTCTCAAAGACGCGAAAACAAACCCAAAAATGGGTGGGGACAGCTAAAACTGAATTACAAGTAGAGATTCTTTGCTTCGTTTCTGCTCTTCCTTTTGCTTCTCTTTTGCTCCACTAATTGCGGTTTATATGTTTCTGTTTCGTCGGTACCTCCATTTTTTATGTGTGCATTTCTATCCCTTTGTCTTTAAAGTTTATAGATTGCATAGTTTTGGTTGACCTCAAATCTGGATGGATTCGAGCTTTTAGATCCCAGTAAAAAGATAATAAATATATGATAATTGTTAATCCCCGAGTTTGAATTAAAGCTTCCTAAGTAGAAAAGAAATAAAAATTAGTATTAAGTATGATTTATTGTGTTTAAACCTAGTGGTAGTCTTTTTTTTATTGAGATAATTAGAAATTTTAAATTCAAATAACATGATGTACAAATAAAGTAAGTTAAAGATAAGACGGTGTTATAGAGATAATTTTTTTATATAATTTTTAATATAATTTTTACATATTATTAAATAAGTAAATGTATTTAATATTACGAGTCTCATGTAAATAAAAAGAACTAATAATTTAAATGACATATCAGATTGTACTAAAAAATAATACAAAGAAATTATTTCAAAATCATTTTTTTAAAAAATAACTACAATGGGATTATTTAACAGTTAAAATTTTAATATCTCAAATTAAAATTTTCATATTCAATTTTTGAATCGAGTAATAAAAGATTTGAAAATAAAAAATGATTATGCATACAAGAGGGTTATTTTTAGTTATACAACTCAATTTTTTTTAATAAAAAAGGAAGATTGTAGTTGAAAAATACTCAACTGCCTTTTATTTTATTAAAGTTGAAGGAGCAGTGCAATGGCTAGCAGGGATTGAGAAAGAGATGTCGAAAATGACAGAAGTTAGCTAACACATATGTATTATGTTTCTATATTGATGGGAAATGTTTCTAAAAACGTTATCTTTAATGCTCAAAAGGTTACCATCATTCCTTTTTTTTTTTCCATGATTGGGGTCATATTTGATATTATGATATCACAGCACATACTCCATTCTTCTCTTAGATACTTTCATCTGTATTAAAGGGTTGAAATTTATAATTCTTAAATTTAAATTAACTAAGACACCTTTTTTCAGGAATTATTAGTGTTTTTGTTGAGTTATTATCTTTTTATTAGTTCAAAAAAATAGTCCTCTCTCTACTAATACTACCATAGGTCAAGGTGTGTGTATAACTGTACATATATACATCTTATACTTATAAGGAGAAAAAAAAATTGCCTTTTATCTTATTAATACTTGAGTTTATTTTATTTTATTTTATAATTAAATAATACCATACTTTAAAATAAAAATTATATGAGACCCCATTCAATGGCGTATATAAACATTAATTTGAACCTCTAATTTTAATAATAAATTAAAAATTTTAAATTAATAAATATTAATTTAATCAAACTTTTAATTATCAAATAATATTTTTTGGTTATTACATATACGGCCTTTGTAAAATTAATGGATTGGAGCACATGGCCCTTCTAAGCCAAACGTATGTCCAGCAAGGGCAAGTTATCGGGCCAGGGGAAATTCAGAGAAGTCCAAATCAT